TATTATTTTTATTTTTACTGTGGTAAATATGAACATATTTTTTGAACTTTATTAATTATTAAATTTAATAAAAATATAAATATAAAAMTAATGTCGAAATTTGGGTTACAGCGTTCCAGTTCAAAAGATTTCAATTCTGACTTTATAGATACACTGACACTATTCCAGAATTTTTGTAAGTGACTCTGATTATTATTATAGAGCCCACACAACAGTACCTACCTATAATATGCTTCCCACACGATAATTCACTTTGATCACTAAATAGGTGTGAAATATGTGCAAACACAAATTTATAAACTTATATATCTTTGATACCATGAATGGGGTATTAAACGATATCAAGTCAATACCTACAAAGCAGTTTCACTCTAGACAACTCGAGAAATGTCCTTCATATACTTTAACWCTGTCACTAAAAATTACTATACCAAAAAGTATTCGTTACTTAGGTATAACATTTAACAAAAAGCTCACCTGGGTACATAYATAAACAGTAAATGAAAACTAATAAATGACAGTTGCAGGCGCCTATGTTACCTTCTAACATCAATGGGCGATTCTTCCGCAAATTGGAATTAAAAAAATTGAACGAATGTACATTATACAGATAAGRCATTTGCATGAGATGTATAGTGTTTATTTTATATTCTTTCGTGGCGTAAATACATTTTAAATAAGTGGTTTAAACTTTGAAAATTACATAAACTTCATCTACAGAATTCAGTATATATTATAACGAATGTATAAAGAYAAACACATGAAACTATAAAATGCATTTATCAGATTATTCTCAGTCATATAAATTAAGTAATGATAGTATAAATGACCCGTTTCAAGATTAAAATAGATAACGGAATGAAGTGCATATAAATATTTCTTCAGACCCAAGATACCTAATTCATTGTTTAGTGTTCTGATTGTTCTAAATGTCATATCGGTAACTTGAATTTTATGGTTAGTTAATTATTATCACAAAGGAAAGAGTATAGTCACGGTTAGGTTCAAACTTCATGTGACATGTGGACACACCAGGAGTCAAGTAGAGTTTATGGCTTATGGACAAAATATTATCTACATTTCACCATACCTKTTTGAACAGCTAGGTACTTAACTTTTAAAATTATAAACCCTGTATAATTAATGTGAAAGTCAATCAAAATTCAAAATCAAAAATTTATTACATATTACTTATAAGAATGTAATATTTGATAAATTAAAATTTATCCACAGTATGTATCTTAAAACGAATTATGAATTGAATAGGATTTGATATAATAATATGTAAAAAATTGCAAGTTTTATAAATTTGAAGCTTAATAATCCTTAAAATGTGTAAATTA